GAATGCTGTGGGAATCTTGGCTGCGTATTGAGGCATGTGGCATTCCGGGTAGGAGACTACCACGGTATAGTTAACCTGTGGAACATGAAAAGCTGGTTTAAGTCTTTTGTATTTAAATATGTGTTGATAAAGTATATAGAGCAGCATGCCTTAATTCCTGTGCTAATAAACTGGTGGAAGATCGGAAAATGTTTTTGGGAAGGTAACTTACTGCTTTTTTTTCCTTACAGATATATAGGAATGGTGGTGAGTTTGTCTAAGCACAGTTGATTGTGTCCTCTTAAATTACTAGACAGACAATTTATATGCCTTTTTTTCTTTTGGTGAAGTTTCATGGTAAGATGCTTAATCTCGGGACTTCAGAGTCTAGAAAGCGCATAATTTAGGTGCCAACTTTCCTACTTTAATTGTTAAGCCCACATTTACAAGGAACAGTTTGAGACATTTCTCACCAGCTCTACTGTATGAATTACTGAACCAACATGTGTCCTGAAGGAGAAAAGAGCTTTCCAGGCCAGAGCTGCAGCCATTGTGACTAAATCTTATGCAAGTTTCAACTGTTCCAGTTCTTTAAATTTCCTGTAGGTGGGAGGCATCCTAGGCACCACAAATGTCCTGTAGGTGGGAGGCATCCTAGGCACCATATTTCGTTACTTGTCTTACTATAGAAAGAACTATAGGCTGTTTAGTACAGGTCAGAGAAACAGCATGTCCAAAAAGTCGGATTTCTACTTTGGCACAGCTATGCAACAGTACTCAGTGTTGTCTTCAGGACTGTCATCAACTTGTTTTGTTCTATTCCTCTGATACTACAGCAAAAGTATGTTGGATATCTTCTGCTTCTATACAGCATCTGTTTTTATAGTAACGTAGAACTTAAGTTGCCCACTGAATTAAGTAGTATCAAATACACACACTGAATTAAGTAAGTTTTTTAATCACTTTGAAAAGTATGATCTGCTAGATTTTATCTCAATTGAACTGCTTTTGCAGTTTGTGCTTTCCTATTGTGTGATGTTCGTGAAGCTACTGGATCTCTGTATTTCATCCTTTAAAAGTACTTCAGTGAAAGAGGACAGGCTACCTGTCGCATTAAGTTTATGATTGTATATTGGAAAGCAGATACTTAGGCAAAAATTGAACTTACTACTATTTCCTTGTAATCAGGTATCGTTTAGTTTGGAATGAAGTAACTTATTTTAGCTATGGTGAAGATGTGTATTTTCTATAACAGAAGGTTAAAAAGAGATTCCCTTTTCACGGTCTCCCAGACATTTAATGGTGTCATTGGCTGTTCTGTGTTTTAATCTGAATGCTGTTTTTCTTAATTTTTTTTTTTCCTGTCTACCTCATAATTGAATCTAGACCTTTGTTCAACATCTGATTCTCTTTGTGAACTAATAGTAATTAACTTCTCAAGTTAATGTAAATATTATACACTTATAGGCTTTCTTTTCTTTCCAGGCAAAATTGGCAAAGAACTATGGAATGACCCGCATGGATCCATATTGTCGAATACGGCTGGGGTATGCTGTGTATGAAACTCCAACAGCACATAATGGAGCCAAGAACCCCCGCTGGAACAAAGTTATTCAATGCACTGTGCCCCCGGGTGTGGACTCTTTTTATCTGGAGATATTTGATGAGGTCAGAACTACTATCTATTTTTCATCCCCTCTCCATCTCCTGTTTGGACTGAGGTTTGGGTGGAATCTTGCAAAAAAGGATTGAGTTACCAAAGGCTGTTTCTTCGCTGTGCTCTCTGGGAGGTGATGGAAGTTTTTCAGAATCCCAAGAGCAGCAATGCATAAGGCTTCGCTCTTTCCCAAGAACGTCCGAGCTGTTACTTTTCCTTTGGTAGCTGATAAGGGGCCTTAGCAGGGTTCCTTGCAAAGGAAGAGAAGCAAAAATGTCTGAGTGGTGTTTAAGCTCTTCTTCGCTATCACAATGCCCTGCAGCCTTGTATTCTGTACTGTCCCTATTAAAAATAGCTTGTTTATACAATGCTGTTTTACTCAGAAATTCTTCAGTGTTGTTCTAACCCAGGAGGAGCTTGGAAGCTTTCCCAAGCTCGGAAATGCTGAGAATAAAACTGTCAGATATAGACTGTGTGTAGTCACTAAGATTTATTAGCAGAAACATAACTTAATCTATACTTGCCTGAATTTCATTCCAAGTGGGCATGTAGGCACTTGTCTATGCTTTACTTAAGACACAGTGGTAATAAATACCTAACCTCTGAACAATTTCATTTTCTTAGAGATTGAATGGGTCTGATTAACAGCTCTGGTAGGTAATCTGCTCTGCAAAGCTTTTCTAGAAGAGTACTATCTTGAATTCTAGTGTGGTGTTCTGCTAGATGTTGCTATTGTTGGCAGCAGGGAGTATGTGCCTGCATCTCAGCTGTTCCAGTTCAGGATATTGACTTGGACTTAGCACAAACATACCTTCTTGAATGATTTAAACTAAGAGTCTACAACTGAGGCTAAAGTCGGTGGTTTGCCTTTTTTGCTGCCTCTCTTACTGTGTGTAGTAAAACTTGACGCTGCACCAGCTGTGTGGTCATTACACAAGTGAGGCTTTTGGATGCTATTTTGTGGGCTTAGTTGATTGGTTGAAGTGTCTGTTCCATTGCTGCAACAGGGGTGGCAGATCAGTACTTGTATCTGCTCTTGAACTACTGGAGTTCACAGCCTATCATAGTAGTGTAAACAGAAGCTGTTTACATTCATTTAATGGCCTCTGATATGATGTCGCTAGATTCACACAACTAGTATGTTGTATTTTGAGAAGTGTTCTGCCTCAGGTTTTCAATTTCTTATTATTAAATATCTGCAATCAATCTATAATCCCACTTAAAGCATCATTCATCCTTGTTGGAAAGGAGATGGCTAAAATATTACCGACACTTTAGTAATTTCAAAAGGAATAACTTAAAAATAAAATTGGCAAAATGAAGTAGCATGGAACTGAAGAAAGTGTTAGTCAAGAATAATTAAGATATTGGTTTTTTTCAGGACAATTAACTTGATAATATTTTTTAAATTATATTCCAGCGGGCCTTTTCAATGGATGACCGCATCGCTTGGACACACATTACAATTCCTGAGTCTCTGAAACAAGGAAACGTGGAGGATGAATGGTATAGCCTGAGCGGAAGGCAGGGTGATGACAAAGAAGGAATGATTAATCTGGTTATGTCGTATACGGTAAGCCAAGTTTGGGGTGGGAGGAGGAAAGGAGAGAATCTTCTTGGGTAGTGGGAGGGAAGTATTTTAGTTTGAGGTAGAAGTAGTTCCATTGTACCTTACTGGGTGTTTGTGTGTGTTAGCATTTAAAATAATTACACTTTACTTTGGGAATAGCAGTCAAAAATATTAGTTAAGGCAGTAAATACTTTTTGCTGAGGTGGTAAATGGGTATTTATTTATCTGGTTTTGCAATTACAAAAATTCAGCATATTCCTGTGCTAATAGAAGTATAAAAAAGAAATCCTCAGTCAAATGGTCCGTTGTCATTTCTAATTTAATAATAATAATAACAATAATTATTATTATTTTTAAAAAGCTTAATGGAATCTAACAATAACTTATTTTTCCCCTAAATCTTTAGATAAGGGGAATGTCAATTTAAAAGCAAAAATAATGGAAACTCTTCTCTGTTCTTTCAGGATAGTTTGAATGCTCTTTCTGCTGATTTTGTTTTTTACTTCCATTCTGGTTCATTTGGTGCTCCTAGTCATGAACTGCTCACTTACACTGGTCCATTTAGCAGCTCATGGACTATTCTGTCATCTGTCACTTAAGTAGCTGTTGGATAAGTAGCTGTTGGATAGCATGTGTAACATGT